AGGCCTGGCTGCCCCCATCAGCGCCTGGTCAGGAGGGGTGCTTGTGGCCACGCCCTCACGGAGGTTGGTGAACACTGCCCAGGCTGTGTGTCCTGCTCCAAAACAGAAAGCAGAAGAGAGCCTGCTGCCGTCTCTGGACACGGGGAGAGCCAGTGGTCCTGGTCCCAGCCTTTGGGGCTAATAACCTGCCCACTGGAAAAGCAGGTGCCAGCAACCATCACAGTCTCTGCCGCTCAGGTTAGCCACACCCTCTTTACTCTGTCTTTGTAGGACGAAGTAAAAGGGAGTGAAGAGGTGTGAGTGGATGAGTCTGGCTTTTTGGGGGGGTAGGGGGAGAGAGAAACATTGATTTGGTGCTCCATCCATCTGTGCATCAACCATTCATTGGTTGATTCTTGTATGTGCCCTGACCAGGGAATCGAACCCACAACCTTGACATATCGGGACGATGCTCTAACCAACTGAGTTACTCGTCCAGGGCCTGGATGGACCTTTCCATATGCGTTAAAATGGAAATACAAGGGAAGACTAGAAATGTCAGGCCCAGAAACACAGGAACAGAAAGGCCCAGGCGTGCCAGCCACCGTGGCGGCAGGAGAGCAGCGCCCGGCCGGCCAGCCTCGCAGAAGTGTCTCGCACGGAGCCGTGGTGATAGCAACACCTCACAGTGTTTTCGCATTCCCCACCGTGGTTTCCCAGCCTCAGATCCCTGACCACAGATGGAAAATAACTGTGTTTGATCCGCGGTTGGTTGAATCCACAGCTGCGAAGGGCTGACTATAGAATCACAAGGTGTACACAGATTTTCTACTGTGTTCAAGGGCCAGTTGTACTTTGCAATGGGATATAAGAGATTGGTTTTCAGTATGTTGATTGTGTAGTGATGGAACACGGTCAGACACTTCCTGGAAAGCTCATTTTATAAAACCAGCTCTGGCCGGTTTGGCTCAGCGGTTAGAGCATTGGCCCGAGGACCGGAGAGTCCCAGGTTCGGTCCCCGGTTGGGGTCGTATGGGTGGCAACCAGTCGATGTGCCTCTCTCATGTCGATGTTTCTCTCTCTCTCTCTCTCTCTCGCCCTCCCGCTCTATCTGAAGACAAATGCCAAAAAAAGTCCTCAGGTGAGAATAAAAATAAATAAATAAAAATTAAAAAAAATAAATAACCCAAACAGAACAAAGCAGAGCTGTTGCAGGTAAAGGAGGGTGTGGCGGCCTGGGGCTTCCTCCCCTGACCCCCTGCAGCCCCTCTGAGGACCATTATCAGGGGAGCTCAGGGTAGAACCATCTGGGGCTCTGGGAAGTCTGAAGCTTTCTGAACCTCACTTTGCATCAGGTGGACAGACTAGACCACCGCTCTTCACCCAGTTCCTGTGGAGGCTTCAGAGGTCTTTGAAGACATGCAGTGTGGGTTTTTTTATGTTGGTTGGTTGGTTGGTTTCTGGAGAGAGACAACACATTTTGTCAGCTTCTTAGAAGGGTCATGTTCACCCAAACATGAAAGAGCGCTGTATTGATTTCTGGGGTCCCTGCCAGTTCTGTCATTCAGTTATTTCGGTTGTGTATGATAGCATCTCCCCAATTCAGACTGGCTTCCACTGCAAAAGGGAAGTTAATGGCTCTGGGAACTGAGAAAACCCAGAGCTGGCTTGACTGGAGTCAGTATTGTTGTCAAGAGTCCGCCCTTCTCCACTTCTAGGCTCGCCTGTCTCAGCTTCGACTTCGTTCTCGGGTGTCCTGCCCTGACCCGACCCCAGGGAGCAAAGTAGCCCCCTGCAGCCCCTGCCTTCCAGCCCATTCTTACCCCCAGTAATTCCAGCCGAGTTTCCAGGGCCAACTCTGATTAGCCTTGCTTAGGTCATGTGTTTCTCCCAGAGCCCATCGCTGTGGGTGCGGGGAGGAGCCACACAGGCTAGGAGTTTGGCCAGGTTCTGGCATCTGGGATTCTGTTGCTTGGTACGATCCCTGGAAAGCTTCGTGCTTGGCCCTGTGAGTGAGACATACGGGACAGCTGGGCCAGGGCTGTAGTGGGTGGGCTGGGACATCTGGGGTCCTGGGTGAATTCCTGGCCCTGTAGCCCTCCTTTGCTGCCATTCCCTTGGCATCTTCCTCTTTGCTGTGACCCCTCCCATGTATGAGGTGTCCCCGACTGATGGACATCACGGCTTTCTCCAGCTGGCAGGAAGTAGAGTCCCAGCTCAGAGACAGCGCATCACTGCTCATCACTGCCTTTCAGGAGCTGTATGTATCGCTCTGGAGAAGGAAAGGGGGGATCGGAGCCACAGAAAAGCAGTTTCCATTGCTGCTTAAAGGCAGCTATTAAAATTTTACAGGAGCTTTATTGCAGGGGCTTTCTGACCATCCCAGGAATTTCTAAAATGGGAAACCTGGTGATAAAGGAAAATGTTCTGGGGACTTCTGGTTCTCTCCTGCCCTGCCAAGCATCTTGAAAACCAAAATCATTAGGGCTTCATAGACCAGCTGAAGGATAGCACCTACCCAAGAGGCTATTTCTGAGTTTTTTAAAGGCATGTGTTACTCTGTATTCGCTATTTCCGTTTAGTAACTTTTTAAATTTCATTCGGTGCTCTCCGAAGTGGCTTGGTAATGAGCTTTGGGAATCTCAGGAACGACAGTTGCCTCTGCCCTTCCATATTAGTTGAGAGTCATTTTGTTGTGTGAACAAATACAAATGCAGGTCAGCTTGCTTAAGTATAAAAGGAAATGTATGGGCTTACAGTCTGGGACAGTGCACGTGGAATGGCTTCAGGCATGGCTAGATCCAGGGCCTCTCCTAAGGTTGCCAGGACCCGAATTCCTTCCACCTCCTAGCTCTGCATTTCTCCGTGTTGCTTTTAATTTCAGGTAGGCTCTTAGGCAGCTCCCCATGTATAGTAACCATCTTATCCCCAAGGGAAATAGCCTCTTTCCCTGTAGTCCCAGCACATGTCCTGAGGCTGGTGTTTATTGGACCTTATCAGCCTGGCTTCTGAGGCCAGGGACAGAGAAGAGGAGGTACAGTGGCTTTATTAGTCAGGGCTGGATCATGTGACCATTCTCTCCTTCCCTGTTACCTCATGGGTGGGCTCATCCCCACAGGAATTCTGTGGTTTGAGTGGGGAAGGCGAGGTTCAAGGGGCTGAGATGCCGTGTGAGCCCAAACAGCTAGTGCTCAGGCCCCAAGGGTCTGAATCTGCCCCCACCCCATATTGTTGTCTTCTCGGGGAGCACACCCCACCTTTACCCTATCTCAGCTATAGTTTAGGGGTTCTTAATCTCAGGACCGTTGACCCGTGCAGGGCCCTTGGATGGAGTTTGGAGGATTGTGAAGTTGGCTGGGGAAAAAAATTACATCTTTATTTTTTCTACCATCCAACTGAATGAAATACAGCATTTTCTTTCCTTCTGAATGAGGGCCTCAAGCCACAAATGTATTAGCTACACCTGTGACCATCACTGCTGGACATCACAAAGATTTCCATATCACACTATAGTTGTGGCAGATATCACAAAATATCATTAGAGTCATCTGTTTCCAAATTACTATAGTTACTGGGCCCCCCACTCAGATTTTTGTAATTTAAAGCATTCGTAAAGAAGCACGTGTATTACTGTATCTCAGATTGGTTGTGTTTTTTTACAAATATTTTGGTATCTGAACATAATTAGTTCCTCTTATAATCTTGTGGATTGTATTGTATACATTTAAAAACGTGATTCTGAGAAGGAATTCACACCTTTTTTTTTTTTTTTTTACTAGGCTGCCAACAGGGGTCCCTAGCATGCGAAAGATTAAGAACCTCTTTTGGCTTCTCCAGGAGCCCTAGGGGCAAGATTATTGAAACTTCTGATTTCTGGACCCTGGAAAGTTGGCTTGTTAGGTTTCCTTCCTGGAGGAGCTGGCTGATGTTTGAGCTTGGCCGTGGCATTGTGGGCAGCGTTTGGGCATAGCAGTATTGGGGACGAGGGGCGGGGAGGCATTGCCAGCCTGGGGTTAGCCTTCACTGACCACCATGACTGTCGCCTGGCCAAGGGGCCTGGAGCTAGGCTGCCTGGGTTCATCCCAGCTACAGTATACTTGTGACTGGCTGGATGCCTCGGCTAGTGGGTTCCTTCCCCTCTCCACGCCCAGCTTCCTCATCTGTAGCAGGTATCTATTTCTTAGAGTTGATGGGAAAGTGAAATGAGTCGGCTCATGTCTGCTGGGACGGCACCTGGCCATAGGGAGTGAGAGTTGTTATTTAATGGCCATGCTGTATAGGAAGGGTCTAGGCTGTCCTCTCAGATCTCATCTCCCTGGCCTAAAGTGGAATGGGATGGTGAACAATACAGACAGCGGCTTCTCAGCCAAAGACATTCATTCATCCATGAAATGTCTATTCAGATATGCACAACTATGCTAAATATGCAAAAGCATAAATTAGTAATATAAAGTTTCCATGAAATTCACTCAAATATGAACAGCCATACTAAATATTCAAAAACATAAATTAATAATATAAAGTTACAAGTCAGGACAAGTGCTGTTTCTCTGCCACTCCTCCCAATTGTCTGAAGGAAATGTCCTCATAATGGCCTACCGTCTGCCCCGTCACCTCCCTGTCCTCTCGCGCCATTCATTCCCTCGCTTACCTGCCCCAGCGCCCGGCCTGCTGCCACTCAGGTGTGCGCACTCGCGTCATCCTGTGCGCCGGCCGTTCGGTGACCTGGAAGGCTTTCTCAGGTAGCCACGTAATTCGCGGTCTCCCGTGTCCATGTCTCTGTCCTCTCCTCACCCTGTTGCCTGACTTCATACTGTGTGTTCGTTGTCTTTCTCCCCTATTGGAATGTCTGCTCCCCGAGGACCACAGCTTTGTCTCCGTCACTGGTGTCCCCTCGGTGCCTGGCACAGAGCGGGCGTTCAGTAAATATTTGTTGAGGGAGTGAGTGTGAATGACAGTACAGTTAGCAGGAAGGCTCGAGTTGGCCAAAGACATCACCTCGTTTCTTTCCGTCTCTGCAGATGCGCTGTCTTTGACATCGGCCCCCCCGGGACCCTCGAGGAGCACTAGAGTCCAGGGCGCACGGAGGGTGAGTACCGTGTGCTTATTTGTTTGCCTAAACTTTACAACTAGTACACCTGAGCCTCTTTATTATAAAAAAAAAATGTGTTCAAAAGAATGTCAAGGGAAAAGAGGGGGCCTCCTTCGCCGCCCCGCTGGACCAACAAGTCTAACATCCTTTAGGGGGAATTACCATCGGCAGTGGGGAGGGCGTCCTGCCAGACCTCTTCCCGCTCTTGAGCGGTTCTGCGCGCACATGCGCTCTGATGGTTTTAGTTTGCTATTTAAAGGGAAAAGCCGTTCTGTGTGGCGGCCTCTGCAGCACTGTCCCCACCAGCCGTCTGCCTGGAAGTCTTTGTTCAGAGCACGCATCAGTGTGTCATATTCTTGTCTTTTTTTTTTAACTTTTAAACTCCATTTTTTAAGTTTACAGAAAGTAGAATTCGCTCTTTAGTGTACAGTTTTTGTTTTTTAATCCTTACCCAAGGGTAATTTTTTATTACTTTTTAGATAAAGTGGAAGAGAGAGAGAGAGAGAGAAACAAACATCGATGTGAGGGAGATACATTGATTGGTTGCCTCCTGCATACCCCCACTGGGCCTGGGGATCAAACCTGCAACCCAGGTATGTGCCCTTGACCAGGAATTGAACCCGAGACCCTTGGGTCCTCAGGCCGACGCTCTAACCGCCGAGCCAAACCGGCCAGGGTTAGTGTACAGCTTTTAATTTTGGCAGATGTGCGCAGCTGTGTACCTGCCACCACAGTCATGGTGGCAGATGGCCCCATCGCCCACCCGTGTGGATGGGCCATTTCTCCACAGGCACAAATGTAGTGTGGGTGTTTGCACAGACTTACAGTTTGTAAATATGACAAATATCTGTAATATAAGGGTTCTGAATATGTTACCTTTAGGCTCCTGGGGGATTTGTTCGTGAACACCCTCTTTCGTTCCTTTGGGGTAGAGTCTCAGCAAGGGGTGGGCCTCAGCGTATGTGGCATTCCAGTTGGGACATTCCCAAGTGGGACGCCACCTTTGTTGGCAGGACGCAGTGAGGGTGCTTAGGGACACTGTGTGGTGCTCGAAGCCTCAGGAGACGCGAACAGGGTGGAAAGCGGGAGAGGAGGAGTCTGACATGCAGGCTCTGGGTGCAGGTAGTGGTGTTGACTCAGCTGCGAGGCTGGTTCATCGGGCTTTGGAAACTGAGTGAATGGAGACAGTAAATTCTCTCCTGGCTGTTCACTGGGTACCCACACATCCTTCCTGGCCTCAGGCTCAGCCTGGATAGCAGGAGCTTGATGGTGGGACAGTCTCTAGAGGTCAGATTTCCATCAAAGGATGCTTCTTAGCATAATTCTTTATTAACTGTCTTAATTTGAAGGAATTTTAGATTTACAAAAATGTTGCAAAAATAGTACAAAGAATTTACATATACACACCCATCACCCAGCTTCCCCTGATATTCCCATCTTTAAAAAGTTAGACAACTATCAAACCGGGAAATTAACACTGGTCCAGTACTATGAACTAAATGACAGACTCTAGTCAAGTTTCACTAGTTTTTCCACTGATGTCCCTTTTCTGACCCAAGACTCTATCCAGGATCCCACACTGCATTTACTTGTCATGTCTCCTTCATCTCCTCCCCTCTGTAACGGTTCCTCAGTCTTTCCTGGGAAGAGGACTACTCTGCTGTTTTGTAGAATGTCTCAGTTTGGGTTTGTCGGATGTTTTCTCATGACTGGATGGAAGTTTTCCTTATTTGGCAGGACACCACAGAAGTCACGTGCCCTCCTCAGTGCACTGTCCCAGGGGGTCGAGGGGTCATTCACGTCCATGTGTCTTGTCACTGGTGCTGCTGACCTGGACCACTTGCGCTGTGTGCTGGGTTTCTGCACTGTGAAGTGGCTGTTTTTCCCTTTGTAACCGATAAGTATCTTGGGGGAGGTACTTTGAAACTATGATGATTTCTGCTCAAACTTCCTCCTGCTAGTTTTGGCACGCCTTGACGAGGTGCGTCCTGCCTGCAACAGTTATTACTGTGGCATTTCCCTAGTGGTGATTTTTGTATGTCCCTCACTTCTTCTACATTTATTAATAGCCCACATAATTAATTCTGAAAGGGCCCTGGCTGGTTTGGCTCAGCGGTTAGAGTGTCGGCCTGCGGTCCTGAGAGACCCGGGTTCGGTTCCCGCTAAGGGCGCGTACCTCGGTTGCAGTTTGTCCCCGGCCCTGGTCGGTTGTGCGGGTGGCAGCCACTCGATGTGTTCCTTTCACATCGATCTTTCTCTCTCTCTCTCTCCGATCCTCTCTCCCCCTTCCACTCTACCTGAACAAAAAATGGAAAAATGTCCTCCGGTGAGGATTAAAAAAAAAAAAAAAAAAAAAAAAATTAATTCTGAAAGGAAGACCTGTTCCTTCTCATTGATTTCAGCTTTTGGTTATTAACATGCTTCTTTATGGCTTCATAAATATTCATTTTATTCTAGCACATGCCTGGTTAATGTGAAAGATCAAGTTCTGAGCGGATTTCTAGTATTGCCTCTCAGACTTTGGGAGAACCCGCGTTTCTCCTCCATGGTCAGCCCGAGGGTCTCGGGCTGGGAAGCAGGAGGCGGGGCTTATCCTTTTGCTGCTTTTCTTTGTTCAACAAGTAGGCATTTGAGCACCTGCTGGTATGTTCCAGGTGCGGGGATTCAGGAATGAACCAAACAGATCCTGTCCCTGACATTGTACTGGAGGATAAAAATAGACAGATAAACAAGTGAACTCAGAATAAGTTGTGCGGCTGCAAGTAACTACAGAGATGAGTAAAGCAGGAAGGGGACTGACCGGTGGCAACCAGGGCGATTTTAGACAAGGTCTCTCTGAGGAGGCGGGTGCCCAACCCTGTTCTTCCACCACCCAGTGGGGGATCTAAAGGAACCATCTCCCTTTGTGTCAGGGTTTTCAGATGCATGGCCAACAGGAAGAGGTGTCCCTCTCTAAGCTGCAGTTCCTGCTTACCTGTGGCTCACTGTTGCCCTGTGGAAATGCCGAGTGCGTATTGCCAAATCCTCCGATATGTTTTCCCCAGTAGAAGACAAAAGTGAGGAATTCTTGCTAGTCCATTATACCCAAATTATGCTGTATCAGATCATTTTCAGTGGTACGTGGATGAATATATTTTTTGTTTGTTTTCATTGAGTTGCTTTTGTAGCAAAGGATTCCTCTGTTGCATTTTGGTGGGAGTGCAGACTCCTTTTTAGATGTACATATATACATTTAAGTGTAAAAGTAACTTGGTTTAAAGAAAGTATTGAGTAAATAATTGTACAGATGGGACAGGTGCGCCTGAAAAGGAAGGGCGGGACACAGCTGCTGAGCTTTTGGGCAAACACTGCTCTGGCTCGGCCTTTCACTCCTTCTCTGGAACTGGGCTTCTCACCAGGGAAACCGAACTGAGTTTGGCAAACGATTACCATGGCCATGTGCCCCGAGCCGTTCGTGCCATGGTAGGTGCATCAGCCAGGAATGCTCTCAGCCCTCAGCCGCAGAGACAGACAGCCCAGCTCGCAGCAGCTTAAACAAGTGAGGATTGATTTCTTTCCCATCACAATAAACCTGGAGGTAAGTTGGCTGCCAGTCGTTGAGAGGTTGAGTGATGTTCAGGCTGGAACCTCTGATTTGCTTGGCCTTCCCCTCGTGGTTACAAGGTTGCTGCTGCAGCTCCAGCCAGAACAAGGAGGGGAGGCTCAACTCCAGCAGTGTGTTTTTCCGTTCTGAGCTGCTCATGCACTCCCGATTCCCCACAGCAGATTCCCCCTACAGCTCATTGGCCAGAAATGGGGCGCATGGCCTCCCCTAGCTCCAAGGAGGGTGGGAAATTTGATTTAGCTTCTGAGCTGCTCCTGAGGAGGAAGCCACAGAAAAGGGGAATTGAGAGTGTCAGTTGGGTTAGCAGCCAGAAGTGTCTGGTTCCACAGGGGAAGAAAAACAATAATAATTAGCACTGGGTGCTGACTGTGCCAAGCCCTCCTGTAGGCCCTTTACGTGCATGATCTCATTCAGTCCTTACACCCAGCCCATTGAGTTGCTGCTGTGATCGCTCCCTAGGAATGGCTTGGAAACTGAGGCACCGAGTGGTGAAGCCACTTGCCAAGTGGAGGAGCCAGGGTGGGACCCTCTGCAGTTTGCCTCCACGGCCCTGACTCTGGGCCACTACACTTGGTTGCCTTCAGAGAGGTCCTGGATGCCCAGACGGCTAGCTGTCTAGCCTCAGTTTAAATTCTTCCAGCAAGGGAGGAAGAAGGCAGTATATTTTACTTTGGGGAAACTTGGATCATTACAAACGTCTTGTGAATCACATCCGCCCTGTGTAACGACCTCTCCCTGGTTCTGGTCCGGTCCAGGTGAGCAGCACCCGCCACTTGTCTTCCTGGCTGCTCTTTGGGGCTTGCAAATCGCTGAGAAGGCTTCTCTTAGTCTCCCTTTCCCAAACAAATTGTACCTGTGCTTTTCATTCTTCTTCCCAGAATGAAGCTTCTGGCCTTGGGGTTCTTCCTTTCTTGGGGTCCTGCTGGTTGGCTCAGCACACAGTTAACATGGACCTTCTCTGTGCCTGTCCCTGTGGTGCTGAGGTGTGGATGAGACAGTTTCATGCTTGAGTGGGTCCCACACTCTTTGGGCTCTTCATTCAGTGAGGGAGGCCAGCCCTCAGAAACAGTGCAGAGTGGTCAGGGCAGTATGGGGGAGCCAGGGCATAGTGGGATCCTAGAGAAGGTGCCCAGCCCTGCTCGGGGATCTGGGAGGGCTCCTGGAAGCATCTTTGGGCCTTAGAAGAGGAGTAGAGATGTATCAAGGAGCAATTTGTCCTTTCGGAATCTCCATTCCCTTCCTCTGTAAAATAAAGTATTTGGGCTTGGGTTTCCTTCCTTCCATTCATTCAACAAACATTGGCTGGGCAAGCCCCATTTCCTGGTCCTGTGCTGGGCACCAGGCTTGCAGGGATACCCTCCTGGAAAGGTGATGCCCTGAGAGCTTCTGTTTC